ACAGTTATTCCATCTTTCAATGCAGTGGTATCATTAGAAGTTCAAAATTCATTGTTTAAATTTTGAACCAGCCTTTTGTGTTGACTTCATGGCTCATTTCGTAGCATTTAAGCCTATAATAGGATGCCTAGATCTGTTTTTATTTTTATTTTTTTTCGCCCTGTCGCTTCATATTTTTTCTGAAAAAATCCGAGAACCAACAAATTAAATTGGTGTGGCCTAAGTTCTTCTTAAAATTATATTAATAACAGCTTTAGGCTAGAAAATGGAATTGATCTTGTCTGTACCAGGCTGGACAGAGGAGTAGGGAGCCTGTGCATAGTCACTATCTTTTTTCACAGTACACTTATTACCTCCGGGGAAGGAGATATCCTTCCGCGAGGAGGTTTTACTATGGTTCGAAACATTTCTGTCAGCAGCTGTTTCTCGCGATTGGCTGGACGGATTTGTCTGTGGTTCGGTATACGTATTGCTATTGGGCTGCAGATGATGCAGAACGTTTTTGTTTAATTGCATATGTGTTTATGGGCGTCGAAATAAAAGGTTTTTAAGTGCTCCGGACACCCCCGCCATGCTGAAAATGGTAATTACCATGTTGTTAAGGAATGGGGCGGTTGCAGTTTTGGGTCTTAGCATTCAAAAGGGGTCAAACAGAGGGGTGTCTGGTTCCGATAAAAATTTTGGGTGACGGCGCAGCAATGACGGCACGGGATGACGGTGAGGGTAATGGCGCGGGTGACGGTGCAGGCTGTCAGACTGTGAGACACGTTAATCAACAGTCCATACCGAACCAACCGTCAGTAGCCATCAAACACATACAAACATATTACGCACATAACTTTCATACAACACACAAACAAATAACCTAAACCAATAGAACACAAAAAAACCCGGAGGTTTGAAATCTACGATTTCCCTTGTTATTACTTCAATGAAACTGGAGGTGAAACTGAAGGTATTGTTTTTGGCATGTCTGTGTGCGTGTGTGTCTGTCTGAGTGTGTGTTTGTGTTTCCGCACATTTGTAGTCAGCATAACTTCAGAACGCCTTTATGGATTGTGATGATATGTGGTATGTTGTTAGGTCGTAGGAAGACAAAAGTCTCCGAATTCTTGTTGAAGTTGTAAACACAACCACCACTCAGTGGTGCACAAGGGGGCAAGCCAGCTGTCCAACAAAATCTAACAAAAACAATTTTTTTAACATTACATATGTATTGTCTGCATTTTGTTGCTTAAATAACTTTGTTAACTAGATGGTCCTCAACTAATTATGTGAAAATATATGCAATGACATGCAGTAGCATTTTAGTTACTGGTACATGTATGTAGCTGTGTGGTTAATCTGTAGTGTAGCATACATGTAGCACAGACCTAGAAGGTACAGTGAAAAAAAGGACAGTTGCCATATTCACCGCCAAGAAGGTTATGTCTTCAGGGCCATTCATGTGTCTGTTTGTGTTTGTGAACACGATATTATAACTTGAGAAGGCCCTAATGGGTTGTCTTGATATTTGGTAGGTGGGTAGGTCTTGATGAGACCTCAAAATGATTACATTTTGGATCACATGGCGGCTTGTCATGGTACTGCAGTAGAACTTCCGGTTTTGATATCTCTTGATCCGTATATGCTATATCATTTGGCAAAGGTATGAGATTTTTTTGCCGGGGCGTGCCCCGGCTTAGTGCCCGGTTTAATGGCACGGTCGGTCAGTCAGTCAGTGTTTGGTAGGTTCAATGGTTGAAAGCAATGCAGAAGCCATTTATACTGGCTGCTATGCCATGCCATGTGGTTTTCGATTAATACAACACTTAAATAAGATGACTTCACAATAAATTCACATTCATATTGTCATATACATACAAGTAGCGCAGTGCATTAGGTCACTGCCATCACATGAAAATTTCGTTTCTGCTCTTAAAACTAAAGAAAATATAATTTTCTTACGCTTGAATAAATTATGTATGTATAAGCTGCGGATCGCTAGATGTCGTTGTTGCATGTCAGGGCGAAGTTTCTGTATTATGTTTGCACTTTTACGTTTTCCTGTTGCATTGTTCTTACTAAGGAATGTCAATACGTTTGATACTTACTCTTTTTAAAGACGGGCTTTCATGCTTCAATCATAATTCGCTCGGACCTGCCCAATTTTCTCGGATCGCTATGTATAGTATGTTGTTTAGGCAGCCAGATAATGACATAATGAGATAGAGCAACAGGTAGCGCTGCTAACTTAGTGGCGGTGCACGTGGCAGGGTTTGGCCATTGAGAGTTCGGTCCCCGGCGAGGAACTTTTTTTTTAAATTTTCTTTTTAATTTTTTTAAGTTTCTTTTTTTTTATTTTCTTTTTTTTAATTGTTTTGAATTCTTTTTTTTAATTTTTTTTATGTTCTTTTTTTTAATTTTCTTTTTTGCGGTGCACATGGCGGGATTTGCACATATCGCGTTCGATCCCCGGAGAGGAGCTTTTTTTAATTTTCTTTTTAGCAGTCGCTGTTTTGCTTTTAACACTCAAAATCTAATTGTTCAAGTCCCGACGTAAGAGTTTTTTAAATTTTCTTTTTAACATCCGCTGTTTTGCTTTTTTTATCAAATGTGTTTTCTTCTTTAACTGGTCTCGTACCAATTTCATCAACTTGGGTAATACGAGGGGTGTTCAAAAAGTTCTCGGCCTCACCTAGAAAACGTCAGGGCAGTAAAATTTTTCTTAAACTATTTTATAATATAGTCCTCTCTAACTGCAATGCACTTGGTCCAGTGATGTTCCAGCTTTATTTTACCCTTGTGGAAGAAGGTTGCATCTGGACCCCCCAGATAGGACTATACCGCATAGATGACGTCATCATTACCATCAAAACGTTGACCACGTAAGTGGAACTTGAGTTTAGGAAACAGGTAGAAGTCCGAGGGTGCTAGGTCAGGTGAATTGGAAGGGTGGGGTTAGACTGCAAAGTTTGCAGTGACCCAAATTCGTTTGCTGCTGTCGCTGACCCCTGTGTTGTGTGGATAGGTGCATTTTCATCACGCCAGCTCGGAGCTTTCCTCTCCTTTTCTCTTTGATCGTTGCCCTCAAATGTCGTAATTCTGTTTTATAGTACTCCCCATTGATGCTTTAAGCCCTTCGCATGTAGTCAATCATGATTACTTCCTTACTGTCCCAGAAAACAGAGGCAAAAACCCTGTCAACGGACGAAACTCGCTAAAACTTCTTTGGGGGGCGGGAAAAATTCTTCATCCATTGTTTGCTCTGTTGTTTTGATTCGGGGTGAAAGTGGTGAACCCAGCTCATCTTGAGTGACAAATGTTTTGAGGAAACTGAATGAATTGGACTGAATTCGTTCCTTGAAATGTCAAGCCTGTTTAAGTTCTGATGTTCAAAAAACATTCGAGGCACCCACCATGCAGACAGTTTGTTCATCCCCAGGATGTTCGACAAAATATTGTGAACTGAGTCATAACACAGGCCAAAGAACCTGCTACATGTTGGACAGTCTCACATCTGTCATTCACTACCATGTGATGGATGGCCTCAACTGGATTGTCCGTGGTGCTGATTTGTGGCATCCTGACCTATGTTCATCTTTTGTGATCTTCTTGCCGCGATTGTAGCTAGTAACCCCGTTCTTTATATTTAAATAAGAAGGAGAGTCATCACCAAGTGTCTTGACCATGTCTTCATGGATGTCCTTAGCAGACTTTCTTTTTTATCGATACACTTGATCACAGCACACACTTCTTTTGCGGCCATTTTGTGATTTGCCCTCACCCACCCCATTTTCACGGGGCGACACGTGCTCATTAATGAATACAAAAATTTGAATTTTTGTGTGCAGTGATGTAAGACGTCATAGTATACAGCTATACCAAAGAATAGGAGTTTGATCTTTATTTTCTAGGTGAGGCCGAGAACTTTTTGAACACCCCTCGTATCATTTCAACAACTTCTACCTCAATAACGGCAGTAAAACCTTCGTCAGCTGAAATGTCAGCTTTTTTAAAAGCACTTGTTCATGAAATAAGCACAAAGTTTTAAAAGAGAGTTGTTGATCTAACCGAATTAGACCCTGAGACCAAACAGACCCTTCCATTGATCACTGTGCATTTTCCACCCCCCAAACTCAACCGTGCCATTGAGCACTGTGCATTTTGCACACACCAGACCAACCGTGCCACTGAGCACTGCATTTTGCATACACCAGACCAACCGTGCCACTGAGCACTGTGCATTTTGCACACACCAGACCAATCGTGCCATTGAGCACTGTGCATTTTGCACACACCAGACCAATCGTGCCATTGAGCACTGTGCATTTTGCACATACCAGACCAATCGTGCCATTGAGCACTGTGCATTTTGCACACACCAGACCAATCGTGCCATTGAGCACTGTGCATTTTGCACACACCAGACCAATCGTGCCATTGAGCACTGTGCATTTTGCACATACCAGACCAACCGTGCCACTGAGCACTGTGCATTTTCACACACCAGACCAATCGTGCCATCGAGCACTGTGCAGTTTGCACATAAAGTCAAACTAAGAACACGTATATTGTGAACAATATGTGAATGTATTTTATCAGGAAAATGCCACCAAGGTGACATCATTTTCAATGGAGATCCATCAGTATTGCACAATTCAAACAGCAATTTAGTTTTATTCTTGCAACAACTTTACTGGAACACAATATGCAACTTTCATGTAGTTCTTCCAAATACGCCCCGGCCAGCTTTTTTTAAAAGCTTTTCTTGTTTTGCATGTGCTGGTGGTTTAGACTTTCCCTAACTGTCATATCCAAAAATGTTGATCGTGACAGAGCAGTGCACATGGTGGATTAAGTAGAATATTGCAGTATATTGCAATGTCGCAAGATCTCCAGCAAGGAATTAAAAGACATTTGACACTTCCTACAGTACACTGTCACATGTTAGAGGGCTGTACTCCCCAACTATGCCTGTCATTGTCAGCGTACAAAGCAATAAAAGGTTTACTTCGGCACTGTCATGATTTCATGGTGACTATGCACAGACTTCAAGGTTGTACTCCTCTGGCCAGCTGTAACTCCTGTTTCGTACTATTCAGTCCATTTGGCCAATTTATCCTAATTTGTGAGCAACTTGGGGAGCTTCGTAAAGGCTAGAATTAATCTGATATTAATTCATTTTGCAGATGACAATGAATGTGCAACCAACAACCCCTGTTCCCACTTCTGCCATAATGCCATCGGGAAGTACTTCTGCTCATGTCCTCCTGGCCACATGATTGCTGTAGATGGGCACACATGTGAAGGTGTGGGATTGAAGCATCACATCATGATACACTGATATTATCTTAAAGATACACTGTGGTTACAGATGTGTTACCACATAATGTAGATGACTTCGAAAAAAAAGTGATGCAGAAATTTTGTTAATGTGCAATTACATTGTACTACACTCTCATAGTGCTTGTTTTGATGGATAGGTGAGGTCCATGTTGCTACTCATAATGTTACTCATAACAGGTGAATTGAACTCATCCAGTTTCAGGGCAGATTAACAGTTAGGCATATAGAAATAAAGGCCTGCAGCACCTCTGGTCTTCAGGAAATCTACAGCACATGGACTGGCTGATGGAAGCATTTAAATTGTTCCAGTTCCAGGCAAATGGAGAGATAGTATGGTCAACACAATGTATACTATTAGGATTACCTCCTTACTCTTGCCCTGCAATATGAAGGATTACATGTGTACCTTCACAGCAATGACGGATTGCCTCCTAACCCGCACTCTGCAATGTGAAGGATTACCTAGTTATCACACTCTGCCCACATACATGTACATGTAAAGATAACCTCCACATCCTCATATCTGCAATGTGAAGGATTACATGTTTCTCCTCAACTCCTCACATTACACCATACTTTCTATAGATACCAATGAGTGTGAGCAAGAGAAGGACATCTGTCCACCTCATCAAGACTGCCTCAACACTGTTGGTTCATTTCACTGTGCTGCTCGTTGCAGCAAAGGTTACCATCGTTCACCCAGTGGAAACAGAGACTGTCAAGGTATTATTTTCATCTCTTTACTCTCATGTACATGTACATGCTCATGTAATACGACTACAGTCAGACTAGGTTTCAACAACCACTCAAGGGACGGAGGAAGAATGGTTGGTGACTGGATATGGTTGTTGGGAAAACAGGCTGGTTTGTTGCATGCACATGATACAGGACATGCATACAAAATAATAAGTTATAACCAGCAATTCAGATGTATACTGTCAAACTTATAATAAGACGACCACCCAGTGGACCAAGGAAAATTGGTCTTCTTATAATCTCCAAGCAGATCATTTGTTGGCAAGACAGTATCCATTTGCCAGAGGAGTGTCTATTAGTCACCTACATTTGTAGGTAGCTAATGGGTTTTTCATAAATAAACTGCCCCATTTACCCAAAGTGACCCAGCCAGCACCATTGCAGAAAGACTGTCATGCTGTTGAGATCAATGGCAAACTGGCTAATTCTATCAAGATTTCTCGATAATTATTATTGAAAAAAGTTTTCTGGCACATGCTTGAAAATGATATGGTCGTCAAAGGTAGAGATTAGGCCATGTGCGGTCTCACAGTGCCGGTCGCAGTAGCGTTGGACAAATGCTCAGCTTAGGCAAGTCCCTTAATACTTTGGTGATGGTTAGAGTTTGACTGTATTTCAAACAAGGAAGCTGCAGTAACTGTTGTTCTTTGTTCACCCAAGCGGGTACATAAACAGTGCATTTTTAGATGTCTCAGTTTTATAAATCTATTGTTCACTTACTAGTAACTGTTTTTGTCTGTGCATTGGTGGAAAGAACCTTCCTTGCTTGTTTGGTTCACTGCGATGATGATCAGTCAACGCTGTTTCTACCACAATGTGCAATTAAGCCTGTCTATGGTGGCTAATTAGAAACCAGCGTGACACGCCGGATTTTGTACTTAGAATACTCCATACAATTAGTACAGTACATGTGCAGTTACGATATGTCAAATGAGGCTGTGTCCCCGTGATGCCTGCAAGTATATTAAAGACAACGTGTAGGTTAGTTGAGAATTCACAACTGGATTGACTGACTACATTGTAAGGTTGTTGATATTCAATATTAACGGTGCAGACTTTGAAGTGTGTCACAGGATTTGCACAGATTACAGGCAGAAAAGTTTCCCACCATGATTGTGTGAGTATACAATCTGAACAGCTATCCCAAACATAAAGTTTGTCATAGGGTTGACACAGTTTTCCGTTAGTCTGTGTATTATAGGATTAACAGTTTACTAAACGTTTTCCATATTAGTGGCGTCGGGTGGTGTAGTGGTTAGAGCAATCGACTATATGAACCGGGGGAGACCTGGGTTCGATTCCGAGTCGTACCTGGTACATGTCTGAACATGCGCCCCGACGTTGTGCCCTTGGGAAAGGCACTTTACACGACTTTCCTCACTCCACCCAGGTGTGAATGGATACCTAACTTCGGTTGGGGAAAGTCGTATTGAGGTCACCTTGTGGTGCCGAATGGCAGCCGCACAGACCCTTGTGACAGTTCCACAAAAAATAATTGTGGAACAAATATGTGTATCATGTGTATTATTTGATTGTTGTAATTGTTATGATTTGTATTGATTATTATGTGATGCCCTACATCAATTCAGCCGTATAAAGGCTGCGACTGCACGGGTACTGTTTGGACAATAAAAACATTTATTATTATTATTGCTTACTTACTTGCTTAAGGCGGTCCTTCGATTTCGAAGATGACGTCCCTCATTGTTGACTCACTGACTCTCTCCCTCTGTGTATTCTTCGATGGCTGATTAGACCGATTCTAGCTGCTAAGATGCGGCCGCATATCTCGCAGATGTGCTGTCCCTGCTGCTGAGCCGGCATGTGTCTTCTTGCTCTGCTGGTCTCCGCCCTCTGGTTGTAGCTGGCTGTGTGCGATTCGGTAGCTGTCGAGCATACCTGTCTCCAACTGTTTCTGTCAGCTGCTAGTCGTTCAAGACTTTGTGGCTCGATGCCACAGGACTTGAGGTTACTTTTCAAGTAGTCCTTGAACCTCTTGCGCTGGCCACCTACGGTGCGTTTGCCCGCGGAAAGCTCACCGTACAGCATCTGCCTTGGTAGCCGGTTTTCAGGCATGTGGATCACATGCCCTACCCATCTGAGTTGCCTCTGCAGAAGTATAGCCGCTAGGGCTCGATGTTGGCTCTACGCCGGATCTCTGTGTGAGGAACTTTGTGCCACCACTTGAGTCCCAATATCTTCTGTAGGCAACGGATGTGGAACTGTTCTAATGTGCGGATGTGGTGCCTATATGGGGTCCATGTCTCGCTCGCGTAGAGTAGAATGGAGAGGCAAACCGCCCTGTACCTGTACATGGCGACTTTGGTCTTGACTAACAGGCTTCTATTCAGAAAGACTTTTCGTGCAAGTCTGCCGAAAGAGGCAGATGCAAGACTTATGCGCCGCTGTACCTCGTCTGTTATGTCGCAGTTGACGCTCAAGGTTGAGCCAAGGTAAGTAAAAGAATTTACGTTGTTCAGTGCACTGTTCTTTATCTGGAAAGTGTCTGAACCAGTGAGGGAACCACCTTGACACATGACCTTGGTCTTCCCCGTGTTGGTGCTGAGTCCCGCACGTGTGTATGTGTTGTCCAGTACAGTGAGACTCCTCTGGAGACCTGTGGCGGTGCATCCAGCGACTGCGGCATCATCTGCGTACTGAAGTTCTAGGATTGTCCCCTTCTGGATTTTTGTCGGCGCCCTGAATCTGCGTAGGTTGAACAGGCCGCCGTCCAACCTGTCGGTTAGTGGCACACAGTCCTCTGGTCTTATGTCCTTCTTGGCTGCCAGCATTACGGCCGCGAGAAACAGATTGAAGATCACTGGTGCGATCACACAACCTTGCCGGACACCTGTGCATACGGGGAAAGCATCAGACTTTGCTCCTCCTCCGAGAACCCTCACCATAGCTCCGCTGTGCAGTGACTTCAGGACAGCTAGGTACTTGGGGGGGCAGCCAAGCGCCGAAGTACTTCCCACAGTAGGGGTCTATTCACTGTGTTGAATGCTTTTGTTGGATCGACGAAGACCATCTAGAGGTCTTGATGCTGTTCCCTGCATTTCTCCTGAATTTGTCGGGCTACGAAAATCATGTCCGTGGTGCTGCGGTCTTTTCTAAAACCACACTGGCTTTCAGGTAAGACATCTTCGGAAACTGTGTTGATAAGTCGAAGTAGCAGTATCCTTGCAAGTACTTTACCGGCGCATGATAGAAGGGAAATGCCTCTGCTATTGCTGCAGCTTGCTCTGTCTCCCTTCTTCTTATATATACTCACAAGATCGGAGTCCTTCCATTGCTGGGGGTTGGGAGCTCATCCATCTCTGTCATGGTTGGGAGCTCAGGAATGTCCTCGATGATGCTGTTGTCCACTTCTGTGTGCCTGTTCAGCAGCTGCTTGTAATGCTCTGCCCATCGGGCAAGTATGGCAGTTATGTCTGTGATTAGGGATGTTCCATCCGCGGACCGCACAGGGAAGTGGGACCCTCGCGTTGGGCCGTACGCTGCCTGAAGGGCACTATAGAAGCCCTGTTGGTTACCGCAGTCTGCGTACCCTTGCATCTCCTTTGCTAGGTTTATCCACCAGTCATTCTTCATTTTCCTTATCTCCCGTTGGGCATGGGACCTCAGCTCCGTTAGCTTAGCCCGGTTAGCTCGAGTTGGGTTTCTAAGCACATTTGAGTGTGCTTTGTGCTGCTCCGAGAGGAGTGTTTGGATATCTGTTCTCTGCTCATCAAACCAGTCTCTGTTTCGTTTTGTGCTTGAACCAAGAACTCTGCGAGCGGAAGCAAGAAGAATACTGGCCACGCCTTCCCAGGCTTCAGTGAGGTAGGCTTTGTTCAAGTGCCCGTTGCAGTTCTATGTATTTTTCCTCATCCCTGAGTGCTTGGAGGTTAAGTCTGCCGGTCCTTGCGGTGCATCGGCGCTGTTTCTGTATGTGTAGTTTGACTTTGGAGCGGACCATTCTGTGGTCAGTCCACGCATTGGCACCTCTCATAGCGCGTGTGATAGTAACATCCCTGCGATCCCTCTGCCGTACTATGACATAGTCCAGCAGGTGCCACCTCTTGGATCTAGGGTGCATCCAGGTGGTCTTATGTAGGGAGCGCGGCTGGAACAGTGAGTTTGTGATGACAAGTGAGTGCTCGGCACAGAAAGTGAGGAGTCTTAGCCCATTGTCGTTGCATTTGCCCACGCTATGTCCACCCAGCACTCCTTTCCACAGGTGATGGCTAGTTCCAACACGTGCATTGAAGTCGCATAATTATTATTATTATTACGTGTGTGAACATACAATCTAAACAAAATTTGAAGTGTGTCATAGGCCATACAGCTCACAGTTATTTTTATCACCACCTGGTTGTTACACAACAGCTGTTATCAGGCTGGCTGAGTGACGGCACTGTGGACTGTACACTACTTTCAGGAAGGGGGGAGATTATACTGTATTGTGAATTATGATATGGTGACATCGCCCATCTTTGTCTTGTAACTCTTAACATTGCTGTTAATGTGATATCTGAAAATTTCAGTTGTGTTGTGATCATCATGTGTCACTTTCGGGGGGTTTAGAATCTCTGATTTCTTGTTGTATGGAGTACTCAATCTGACACATCAAAACCGTCACATTAGACACTATAGACAGAACTCAAAGTGTAGCACTTGTTCACAAATGTGTCTATTCAGTAATAATTTTTCATTTTGTCAATCGGTATAATATAGCCAGCTGCCGCCGCACCGCGTGCCTGCGAAGCTGGTGTGTTATGCCGAAAGGCGGTTATACCGGCTATACTGATACAGATACAGATACAAATCTTTGAAGGAGCATAACTCAAGAACAGGTTGATGGATTGTCATGATTTTTTATATGTAAGTACATGTACATGTAGCTAGAGGAATGCTTTATAGAATTAGATGACAATTATGCAAATCATGATGTAATGTGCATGATTAAAGGAAATTCTATTAATCTGCTTTGTTCTTTCTTAGGACTATTCAAGCTAGTGATACATGTAATTGAAAATGAACATCGGCAGATGTTAATTATATAAATGAGAATGTTACAAGACAAGGCTGGTTTGACCCCAGAACTGTGTAATTAGATTGATTTCAGTGCACTCCTTATACGGGCAGAGCTGTGTGGTCTCCAAATGTGACAGGTTGCTGGACTAGTTTTAAGTTTTGTGTTTCTTTTTTGTGTGTATTTTGTAATTTTTCATTTTGCCTGATGTTAGAACAGTGAAGTTTATAAATAACGTTACAGCTGTTGAATAAAGCTTACAGTGACGGTTAGACTTAGAGCTTGATTACCGTTAAGTGGATTTTAGTGAAAGAAGAAGTGTAATTAATAAGTACATGTAGTAGTGCACATGCAGTAGAAACTGATGAAAGGAGGGAACATCAATAAATGTATAGATGTTTAATGTGTACACTTGAGAAGTTGTGGATGGTTAACGTATTACGTTGTGCATGATATTTAGTGGATGTGTATGGGCAGCAATGATAGGGAGGCCAGTGCCTGAGGTTCTCCGGTAGCATTTTCGTGGTAGCTACTCTTGGCGCACAGTTGGTGAGTTTGTAATTAATATGGCATCACGTGTAGACCTGTATCAAGTGAAAGCAGTGCGCACATCCTGAGATGGTGCAGATGGTAATGGAGGGGTCCTAATTCCGACCTATGTTCCATGCAAACGCACATACAATACTGTACGTTTGGTAATAGTTTACCTGACCAAAAACATGAGCTATAATATTGACAGATAAAGATCACAACGATTAAAGCTGCACAGCTGAGTATTTCACTTCAGTGTAGCACCTTGCACCCAATTGTAATGGTTCACGAAACTTACGGCAGGTATTTGGTCATTTTGCCAGTGAAACGTTCTATCGCAATAGGGGTGCCCTAATTCCGACCTAGTGTTTAACACAGGTCGATCTGAGAAGAGAGTCTAGAAATTATAATACACAAATTATGACTAAAGCAATCTACAACTTTCTGTCCCAAACAAGTCATCTTTTTGCGATTATGCGGCTTGCTCCAAAGTGGCTGTTTCAAAAGCAAAACATTTTTGACATGCTCGTCAACTCCCAAACAAGTGTTGAATTCAAACAGATTTTTCACTCATCTGTTGTCGGAGTGTATGAACTAAAATAAACTTTGTGAGATTACCAATATTAACACAAAAACTTTGTAGTTATTTTTAGGCACGTGCTTCTATGCATAACGCCGCAACAATGATTTTTCAAACTAGTACAAAATTAGCTATAGGGGTAGGTCGGAATTAGGGCACCCCCCCTGTTATAGAAGCACTTTTCATAATAAAAACATTTACTTGGGAAAGGCATGTGTTCTCAGTTTTCTAGTGAAGCATGCTTTGTAACATCTACCTTTCGCTTTTTTGGACAGACCTGAATGAGTGTGAGAAGGTGCCATCTATTTGTCAACATGAGTGTATCAATACTGTGGGCAGCTTCAGATGTTCCTGTCAT